CCCCAAAACCCCAAAACCCCAAAACCCCAAAACCCCTTTTTGTAATAAAATTTTTTATAAATATAAACTTACATATATACCTCTAAATGACCCTTAGAACCCAAAAAATAGTTTATTTCTACCTAAAAGCGCTTCCTTTCTTTACTTTATCCTCCATTTACTTTCTTCAACCTTCAAAATCTCCTTCCTCAACCAACACATCATACCTCAATCCATAACTCATACAAAACAGGCTCAAATCAACCCAATAACTCCAAAATCTCCCTCACTTTCCTAACTCCTCGCTATTCCTCATCTCAGTGTACCATTTTTCGCCAATTTCAGGCTCAGTCCTTAATCCTGCCTTAATATCTTCTCTCAATCTCTAAAGATCTCCTAACAGGCTATTCCCTGCATCTACATATCTGTACACAGACCCCACAAGTCTATGTACAGCTTGAAAATACACTGTGGAAGACTTTCATGGGCAAGACCTAACGCGGCTAGACATATTCTGAGCGTACAAGCTCCTAAGAAAAAATTATAGCCCACTGTTAGGAGCCTGATCGGCTGACAATTTTTTTTACGGAAATTTTATTAGAAGAAGAACTTTATTTCTCAGAGAGCCTCATGGTTTTTATGAGAGAGGTCAGCAGTACAGAGTCAAAGGGATTACTATCAGAGCTTTTTACAGGGCTAGGTCACCGGACTACTTTCTTCTTGAATTTCTTACTTTTCTTTTTCTTAATAGAGGTGTTTTTACTGTGAGTTGACTCTGTAAGAAATTTATTCAACTTTTGATATTGACCTTGTATTACTTCGCTTTGGTTATTGATCCGATGGAATCCAGAACGGTTTGAAGGAATTCCGTAAGCTGGAATAAGTGAGTCTCTATCAAACACAGACTGGATAGTTGAAGAGACTGTTGAGGAGTTCTTCACCTTTTTCTTTCGAGGACTAACTCTCTTTTTATTCGAATGTGGAGATGTAGAGGACTCAACACTGCTCAAATCGTTCACATAAAATAATGTTTTGCTTTCTTTTAATGGAGTCAGAAAAAGATTTTCTGTAGCATCACCGAAGCTTTCTGAGATTCGAACAGACTCTATACCCTGTGCACTTCGTTGAATCTTAAGTGCTGGCTGCTCTACTGCAGGAATTATATTTATGATGGGTGAATCTTCATACGAATTATTAGGACTCAAGTTATGCTTTCCTTCGTACTTTGGACTCAATTTTTGAACCATTATTTGAGAAGAGTCATAATTTTCAGATGCAGCTTCTTGGATTTTTATCAAAGTATATCCTTCTTCTTCCTTGGAATACTCTTCTTCGAAAATATTTCCAAGAGGTACCTTAATTTTAGGAGTTTCTAGCTCTCGAGGCTCAATTAATGGAGTCAAATAGGATGTACTCTCAAAATTTTTCTGCTCAATTTCATGCAGCTGATCAATATGAGGCCCGAAATTATTATCCAGATCATCCTCTTCACTAAGACTCTCATCAAAGCTCTCTAACTCAAACTCTTGTGGATCAACTTCGCTATCAAAAGAGGTTGTTCGCTGCTTGACCTCATCAAAAGACTGTATCTTCATAATAGGCGCTTCTTGGATTTCCGAAACAGTGCCATCAAGGTACTTCTCATCATACTCCTTGCACTTAGAGACCTCTAAACTTGAGTCACTCTCTTTAATAGTATTTAGGGAGCCATCAAGGCCTTCTAATTTCTGCTTTTTAGACTTCTTGAACATATCAATGAAGTACTTGCGGAAGTAGACTTCTTCAAGCGGTAAATTCTCTATTTCAAATCCAGCAGTGTTCTCCCTTGCCCTCTTGGGCGTCCTAATGTTGTTGGATGCATAAACTTCCTTGAGCAGTGCACTCCCGTTTATGTAGTCCAATAATTTTGAGAATTCATTCTCTTTGTCTTTGGATTCTTCTTGAAGTAACTAGAAGAATTAGTCAATTGTTAGCTTTAAAAGAAGAAATTCTCAATTTTTAGGCAAGATCGAGATTTTAAGATTCTTACATATTTTTTTAATATTTTAGCGAAATTTAGATCAAATTTAAGGTTTCGTAAATTCCTTAAAACCTAGAGATATCTATCCTAACGAATCCTTCGTTAAATGAAGGAAAAATCAACTTTGCGAGTTCAAATTTTGTAACGCATGATTTCTTCTACCCTCCAATAATTAGCTTCAAAAGGAAGTATAAATGCCCTAATATACGCTAGAAGAAATAAAATTATTTTTAATTTCCCAATGGATACTTGTTGTGACCTACTAAAGCCTCAATCCCTAATAATTTCCACCATTTTTTGGAGGCATATTTCATTTATTTGCTATTAATTTTCTAAGCAGCTAGAACTAAGTCAAGAGGAAGAGCTATGAGCTTAATATGAATCGAGATTGACACTCATTAAGGTATTAGCTTAATATTCTGAGTTCAAAGAAATTGAAAAATCTCAAATTTCTGAGGAATCCCTATAACGCTTACCTTTATTGTTTCATTACAATCTTCTCGTTCGATTCGAACGGAAGTCCTTGAATTAAAATTCTCGTCTGCTTTAGCATCCTCACATATAGTATTATTGACGATCTTGATGTCAGTAAATTTAGGGTTAAAGTGGTTGATAAGAGAGGGAATCCAAGGGGCCTTGGTATTCCGAGCCTCAATCTCAGCCCAATCAACCCCTTTGAAAAATGCATGATCTCATAACTTCTCAACTGACTGAGGCCTTAAATCTCGATTCTTGTGCAATCACCAGTTGATCAACTGTTTCAGCTCTTTACTTCAGTCAAAATTTAGATTTGCTGAATTCAACATAATCTTATTATTCATCTCTTCCCGATTCCGGGAATAATGGGGTGGAAATGCTGATACCATTTCATGAAGAAGACACCCGAAAGTATAAAAATCTAGGGTTAGGTTATGAGAATCGCCTAATAACATCTCTGGGGCCATGTACTCAGGAGAGCCTCAAAATGTATCATTCAGTTTGTCCAAGCTTGAGACGATTTTGGCAAGGCCAAAATCGGCAAGCTTTAAATATCCTGATGAGTCGATTAAAATATTTTCAGGCTTAAGATCTCTGTAAATAATATTCTTGTCATGCATTCTCTTAATCATGATCAAGATCTGGCTTGCATAGAACCTGATCAGGTTTTCATCAAGTGGATCATGAGTACTGAGTAAATTATAAAGACTTCCTCCAATTCACATCTCAGTTACTAGATAGTAATGATCCTTGTCCTGAAAAGCCCAATAGATATCGATGAAAAATGGGTCATTAGTGAACATAAAGTGAATGTTGCGTTCATTGACAACGATGCTTTCGCTGATGAAATTGGAATTGATGTGCGTCTTTTCCATAATCTTGATCGCATATATCCTTCCGCTATCATTTTTCCGTGCAGCTACAACTTTAGAGTATCCTCCTTTCCCGATAACATGGAGAAATTCAAAATCTTCGATTGACACTTTATGCTTTTCCTGTAACAATTCGCTTAGGAACTTCCTATGGTCCCTGTTTAGACAAGAGTACTGTGCATTCAACTCTAGGTAATCAGGAAGGCGGCTAAGAGGGAGGTCAAACTGTGTTAAGTAAAAATCAATGGGAAGGTTATAGCCTTCCCCTGCTACTTTGAGCCCTATTATTAACTTCCTTTGGGAATTGTCTTTCCTTGGACTTGAATAGGATGACAATTTGCTGCAATATTGTGTATCTTGGGACGTTAGGGATTCTGATCTCTTTTCAAAATACTCCTCATAAGTTCTAATAACCTCGCTGATGAGCCATCCACAAGTCAGTTCATTGGGGCCATCCCTAAAGTTAGAATGATATCAGATTTCGGAAGGCAACTTATACATAAAATTTGATCAGAAATGGAGTTATAAAAGCTGGTTAAAGAGTAAAAAGTCTTACCCATGGGGATCTTTTTGTTCTTCATGATTCTTCTTGTTAACAATAATAGCTTTATCAGGAAGATCATCTCCGTATTTGACAATAAATATTTTCCCAGAATGTTCTCCCTCTGTTATTTTAGATTTTTTCTGCAATGCTTCTAGTGAAAGTTCAGGTGAAGCACCATGGAATCCAGTTTTGGAGCTATTTTACCTTATTGAGATCACTGAAAAGGATCTTGTATATTTCCTTATTGAGGTTTTCAGAATCCTCTTTGCAATTAATACTGTTAAGCATGCCTTTGCTATTTTAACATTTGTACAAAATGTTCCTTCGCCGTCAAGTTGTTCTGCTTCTTATGAAGGTTCCTTTCAAATTCACTGTAGGTTTTTGGTATTTTATTCCCCATTTATTCACAAATTTTATAAGTTCTTGACATTATTTTCAACATGTTTTAATTTAATTGGGGTTTTGGGGTTTTGGGGTTTTGGGGTTTTGGGGTTTTGGGG